AACATGCATAGCAGTCGCCTATCAAATTTTATGATACAAAAATTTGATAGGTAAACTCAGAATGCAGGATCTTACTTGACCAAGCTTAACATCTCCACTGCTTGGATCATATAGCACATGAATGTTCCTAACTGCGGGCCCCTCATTGACTGGGTTCAAGCAATCAAAGCAACCACTAATGTTTGCATCAAGGTGGACTATCTAGATCACACCCCTTGTGGACTCGATTGCCATTTTGTTTTTCTATAATGTTAATTCTATATTATGAAAGAAAAGAAAACATGTGAAATAACTAGTTTTGTTTTTCATTTACATGTACATTTTCTCCTAATGTGATACAAGAAAAAAATTGACAACTCCAACTCAATAAAACCTTATAAGATCATTTTAAACCTCTAATTAGTTACATTTATTGTTACTTTTTAACCTTGATTAGCTTAAATGAAGTTGTTGAGCTAATTACTTCCCTTTTTTGACATTATCTTTATCACTTCCAGTGCTATTTTCTAGATTTCCTTTGAAGAAATATCGGCAAATGGCAATTGTATGCCCAGTACCATTAAATTCATAGTGCATACATTACAACTCACATACATTAGACCTATAATTAAAGTATTCCATAAAAAATATATATGTCTTTAATATATTCCATCCAAAATACACAAGGTATGATTTAACACTTGATCCATCTCAATACTAATTCTTGGATTGGCAATGCCCGGTCTCTTAACCAATTCTTGGTTCTTATTTCTCCTATATTGCTTAAACGCCATTAAGATCAGTCCTAACTTTCAATTGCATCGTTAATATTTACTGTGAAGACTAGTACCTTATCATTACTTTACTTGAAGGTCTAACATCCTCTCTATCTTCACTAGGTAGAGGTAAGGTTGCGTATGCACCATCCTCCCAGACCCCACTTGTGGGATTACACCGGGTATGTAGTTGTTGTTATACCCACTACAAGTCCAATTATTTGAAATGCACATCTGTCAGAAAGTAATTCCTTTTATTATTATTTTGGTAAATTCTGTTAGATTGAATTAAAGTTATCATCTGTTTGGATATTTGAATTTGTTGCCTGAGGTTTCTGATCAAATGTCTTTCAAAATTGTCCCAAACTGGAAGAGTACATTCTATTTGGTTATTAGGAAATTCAAGTGAAAAATAAATTGAAAAATCAACTTATCAAATCGTTCCGAGAAACTTAGTGATATAGTACTTATTTTGGGATTGTGCACGATTCTTGGGTGTGAGATACGGGCCTACACATTGATCAACTTAGGCGCATCATGCATTGGATATCCTTGAATCATGATGTGCATTGTCTTTCAATGAAAAAGACTTGTGATGCTCACAGAGCATTTTCCAAGTAGCAAGGTATATTATTGGAAATAATCTAATTCACATCAGTTGCTCTCAGCATGAGAGTATATGTCCTGGCGATCTCATCTCTCATGAATCTGTGATCACAATAAGACTCGTCATAGACCTATACATCTTAAGATCGGAATCAAGAGATGAGAGTTAGGTACTACCAATTACTCTCCCTTAATTCGACTAGGGCGTAAGCTAAGAAGGATAAAATTGCATGTTAACCTACAATAGAAGGAACTTTAGTTTCTTCATCACATCTTAGGTCATTGCAAGTCTTATCAATTCACTATAAGCAAAATATGTCCATGTAACAACCTATGTAGGCCTCAATATGCACAGATAAGTAGGTGCAACAATATGATGATTAAAAGTGATAAATGGGGACTAGATACACCAAGAGAAAAATTATCTCCAGAAACCTACAAATCATGGAGTACGTGTGGACTTAGTTAAGGGCACAACAGAAGAATTTAGGGATCCGCATGACGATGGCAAAGAAGATGCTCCTAGCTGAATAAGACCATGTGGAAAGAACTCACTGAAACTTGATTATTGCATTGTATCAATTTAAAGTATCTATGCTTTTTGGTATGCTTACAATTCTATCAGTTTTGACCATTTGTGCTCCTTGATATTCTTCACAATTGATGAACTTTAACAGAAAAGAGGCTATGGTGGTTTACTGGGTTCAATTCTATAAACTTAGATTCATAAATAGGAACAGGCTATTCCTAATCGACACATTGCTATTATGCAAGAGATAAGTTTAAAAATATATGATAGGCCTTATGCTTCAGCTTCAAGTTCATTGGACATAATAAAGAACTTTTCTTGTGCTTCCGAGGGTGTGATCTAGTGGTCAATAATGTTGAAGTAGAACCATGATGTCTTAAGTTCAAATCCAAACTCGGCAAAAACACCAGTCATTTCTTCCCATTTTCCTACGCCTTGGTAGGCAGAATTACCTGTACTAGTGGCCGGTTAGTCGAGGTGCGTGTAAACTGACCAAGACATCACCATCAAATTTAATATATATAAATAAATCACCGTGGTTTTTCTGTCTGCCTTGTCTCACCTCTTCACTTATAAATGTTGTCTTAATCAAGCTTCCCTCTATTTGGCATTTCATATACCTTTAAGTTTGTTTCTTAACCAAGAAATCATCTTGGAGGTCTTAAAACTTGATAGATATGCACTGAAATTTAACTCTACCAACAACCCATCATAAGGCAACTTCCCTTCATTCAACCATCTTTCAAACCACCATAATATCCTTTAAGATTCAAGGAAGTAACAAAGTAATTCCAAGATAAATGAAGGTCAAATTTCTCACAGATTCAACAAAAAAGTTACTTTTGAGTATACTTTGAGTTAACCATGAATTTTCATTAGTTTGTAGTATTCATCCATAAACTAACATCGCAGATGATCAATCTCTTGTGGTGGAAAGGGTTCAGGTTAAGCAGAACTAAAGCAGAATACTTGGAGTGCAAGTTTGGTTATGCCGTTATGGAAGTGAGATAGACGTGGAAGTGCGGCTTGATACTTGGGACATCCCTAAGAGAGTAAGTTTCAAGTATATTGGGTCTTTAATCCAAGGAAATGGGGAGATCGACGATGACGTCACACACCGTATTAGTGCAAGGTGGATGAAGTGGAGGCTCGCTTCCGGAGCCTTGAGTGATAAAGAGGTACAGCCAAAACTTAAGGATAAGTTCACAGAGTGGTGGTTAAACCAACTCTGTTGTATAAGGCGGAGTTTTGGCCAATCAAGAACCCCCAATTCAAAAGATGCAAGTTACGGAAATGAGGGTGTTGAGATAGATGTGGGCCATACTAGGAAAGATAAGATCAAATATGAGGATATTCAGGGCAAGGTGTGAGTGGCCTCTGTGGTGGAAAAAATGAGGAAAGTGAGACTGAGATGATTTGGACATGTGAAAAGAAGATGTGTAGATGCCCTAGTAAAGAGGTGTGAGAGGTTGGATATAGTGGGTGTGAGGAGAGACAGAGGTAAACCGAAGAAGTATTGGGGAGAGGTGATTAGACACAACATGGCACAACTTCAGCTTATCGAGGACATGACCTTAGATAGGATGGTATGGAGGTTACAGATTACGGTAGAAGGTTAGTAGGTAGTTGAAGCGGGTTTATGCTTGGTGGGAGCCTGGGAGCACTGTGTATGTCATAGTATTAGTCTTATACATGCATTTTCCTTTTCGCTACCGTATTATTTCGTTGTTGTTACTGTGTTTTTTCCTCTTAGTGCTCTGTTCTGCTTTCGCTAATAATTGACATGTTTTCTTCACTGTCGTGTTCCAATTTATGTAAATATTTTTATTTGTTGCACTTGAGCTAAGGGTCTTTCGGAAATAGCCTCTCTACCTCCACGAGGTAGGGGTAATGTATGTGTAATCTCTAGCCTCCCTAGACACCATTTACGAAATTATACCGGGTATGTTTGTTGTTGTTATCCACAAACTAACACTTGGAGACAAAGTACTAGCAGGTATGATAGATAGACTACTTTCTTGATAAATGCAGAACTTCCAAACAAAAAATTTGTTATGACAAGATTCTGGAAAATATAGACAACCGTGCGTTCTTAAAACAGAACAATATTTTGTGCTATAACATTGAATGATTGACTTACAAACTAGTAACACACTAAGAATGATGTATACATTCATATATCACCAAACTGATTAATCGAAAAACATAAATACTATTATCAGATATATCAGAGAAGGGCAATTAAACGAAACACATTATACTTGTAGTTCATTCACAATACAAAACTAGTCATACTTCAACCGCAGTTAACTATAACAACACATCACACTACAACAATAACAACAACTACCGTCAAGCCCAAATTTTTTGGGACTGCTATATGAATCCTCAAAATACACTCCGCCCCACTTGGAGTCATTTCATTCCGAAACTCAAATAATAATGTGTACTTTTACAAAAACAAAGGGCAGGGGAGGGGAGGTTTATAGGGCATTTGATGGTGCCCATGAACACATGGTCTCTCCACCAAATTAGATATTTTATGTACATATTTCCAAGAACTGATCTAATATCATCTGTTGGCACCTATGCTCCAAGAGGACTAAATGGTGCACTTAGTTGAATGCTAAGTTATTTACATAAAGGAGCAAAGTATTAATTCCCACTTATACTTCTTTTTTCTCCTTTTTTAGTGGTGCAATCATGTTATAAAACTCCTAAATTCTCCTCTGACTAAGGATTCTCTAAGATAAACAGACTAAACAAAGTATATTAACTACGCCTTAGTTCCAATCAACTTGGTGCCGGCTAAAACAATCATATCACAAAAAAATAATAACAACAACTAATATCACTCCCACACTGTTGTATCTGTTATATGAAATACTCAATATACATTCCACTCCACTTGGACACATTTCATTCCGACATTCAAATAATAATATGTAATTTTAGACAAAATAAGGGTTATCTAAAATAAACAAATTACAACAACTACGCCTCAATGCCAATCAAGTTGGTGTCTGCTATATGATCCACACTTCTACATTTAAGCTCATTTCACATCATAATCATCACCATTGTAACAAAAAGAACATAAATTCTCTTACCAGTGAACGGCAAGTAATCAATCAGCACGCTTGTAGGACGGGTGTTTCTTCGCAGACCTTGCATTCTCATACTCAAATCTCAGAACATTAGGAATATGAGAAGTGTCCTTAACATAAAAGAACCTCCCGAAAGCACTCTCTTCAATAGCAGGAAATAAACCACTGAGCACATTGTTAACAATCCAAAACCAACCCCAACCAAGCACAGTTCCCAAAGCAGCACCAGCAAACACCTGTGCAACCGTATGATAACCCAAATACACCCTCGAATACATCGTCAAAACCGCCATTGGCCAAACCAAAACAACCGCAACCAACAACTGATTTCTAAATATTAGCCCCAATTTCTTATAAGTCAATAGAGTAAAATACACAGCAAAGAAAAACATGTATTGGGAATGACTAGAAGGCCATCCATGAGAATCACACATTTCAAGAAGTGCACAAGTTTCGGGTCGGGCTTGCTGAACTGATTTCTTGATAATTTCATTGATAAACTGAGAAATGATAAGCCCAAATGCAAAGAACATACCTTGAAGCTCTCTACGAAAAATAAAGTGAGAAATGAAACCACCAAGGCTTATAAATACAGGAACCAATGAAACCCATGCTAAGAAATGGCCTAATTGATCCCCCTTTCGGTATCTAACATGGGTAAGTGTCACTGCCTTCAATGGATGATGAGACATTGAAAAAGATTTGAATTTTTTGTCAGATCTGTGATGTGGGGAAGAGTAAAAAACCACTGAGGAAACACCCTTTTGAAGATTGTTGAGAATTGAAGTGAAATCAAGAATAGTGAAAAGGGGGCAGATGTTGAGTTGTTGAAGGAGCCAGAAATGTGGGAAAGACTACACAAGGAAGGAAGGTGGAGGTAGACAAGTGTTTGGAGATGATTGGTAGAACATATAAGAGTTCTAATTTTGACAAGTGTCTGCATTTTTTTTTCTAAAATTTTGATTTTATTAATTCGATTAATTTAAATTTTTGTTGCGTAGAATTCATAAAAAAACAATATCAATCCGGAGCTTTTTTTTTATTGCAATGTTTGAATCTAGAACGTCTAATCAAAGGTTAATCAAGTGAATGAGCTCACGTTATCTTTAGTTGATAAGTATATTATTAAGAGAAAATTATGCGATTAAGCAAATTTATACTATTTAATTACTCATCATAGCTATAGTTTGTTATAATTACCATTCGCGACTAACATTAATCATTAATTACGTGGGCTGACTTCGAGTTGTATAATCAACCACATTTGTATAATTCATCATATTTGTATAATTCGCAACTAGCAATACTTCTTTTGATTTGTATTTGTATACGATGATTTATATTTGTATAAATATATTGATAATAGATAAATCAAATTAATGGATTTTATTATTTTAAGAGTAATAAAATGAAATTAATCAAATTATGACCAAGATATACATGTTTATGTTTTTTATTAGGGAAAATTACGCGGTGAAGTAAACTTATACTACTTAATTACTCATCATAGCTATAGTTTGCTATAATTACCTCTCGCGATTAACATTAATCATTAATTACGTGGGCTGACTTCGAGTTGTATAATCAACCACATTTGTATAATTCATCATATTTGTATAATTCGCAACTAGCAATACTTCTTTTGATTTGTATTTGTATACGATGATTTATATTTGTATATGACAATAATTTCCTTTGGTTTTTCAGTTTTGTCACCATATACATTTAATCTTTATGTGTGTAACTTTTTAAAGTTTGTATAAATGTGTAGTTTTCAGATTTTGTATAATATAAGTTATATAATTAATTTGTATAATATATTTTGTATAACTGTTTAAAGTTCATATATTTATGTTTGTATCAATTTGTTATTTCAAGTTTTATCATATTTTGTATAATTTCAGACTTTATATTACTCAATTATACAAAAACAAGCGAATTATACAAACGTAGCCGCGAATTATACAAATGAGATGTGAATTATACAAATTATTTCCCTCTGTCCTCCCTCTCCCAATCTCGCTCGCATCTCTCCTCCCTCTCCCAATCTCGCTTGCCATATATACAAATGCATATGTATAATATACAATTATCTAACCGAAATACATATACAATTCATACAAATGCATATGTATAATATACAATTATCTAACCTATATACATATACAATTCACCTCTCTCCCACTCTCTGCCCTCTCTCACTTGCCTCTCTCCTCTCTCTCCCAATCTCGCTCGCCTCTCTCCTCTCTCTCTCCCAATCTCGCTGGACATATATACAAATACATATGTATAATATACAATTATCTAATCGATATACATATACAATTCACCTCTCTCCACTCTGTGCCCTCTCTCCACTCTCCTAATCTCGCTTGCCTCTCTCCTCCCTATAACATGTAGCTACGAATAGTAATTATCAAACTATAGCTATGGAGAGTAATTAGGCTATTTTTGAGTGGCTATATCCGAAAGTTCCTTTATTATTAATATGTGAAAAAGATGTTCTTTTAAATCTTTAATCGTGTGTTTTTATTTTTAATTGTTGATGAATTTTGGTGAGGTTAGGGATTCCACATGTACTATGGAACATGTAAACATTTGTTTTTTATGCTCTTTTGTGATAAATGTTGTTTTATTCCTTGTATGTTGCAATTAGGCTAATGTAAAAAAACTTTTTTAAAAAAATTGAAATTTTAACAGTGATAATTAGAGTTACTAAATTGTCATACTTGGATAAAATATTATTGATTAAAATAGTTCGCTATGAATGGTATAATCAAATTGTTAAAAGGTTATAACAAGGCATATAAATATGGTAATAATAGTCTGGATACTAATTAATCACCACAACGAGGGCCAAATACTTGGTAATGGGTTATGAATAATCATAGTCAAATTACTAATAATCATAAGTGACCCGATGTAAAAAAAAAAGAGTAAGAGTTAATTAGAACAATCTAAAAATTAATGAAAAAAATGCATTTAATTATAAAAAATGTGATCTTTGCTTACATAACACTGGTAGTATTATACATGATGAGTTGTATAAATTATTTTATTTTAAAATTATCTGTGTTTTATTTGAAGTTTCGTTTTTATCTCTAGTGATAATAATGTTGAGTTTCCCTAATGACATATTGAGGAAACCTCTATATTAACATCTGTCATGATTATACGTGATATCACTTCTTATTCTAATAGTCAATTTAGTGAGTTCATTTTTAGTTCTTTAATTTTTTTCCATTTTATCAAATAATTCACATATTCTTTAAGGATTAATCAAGATACTCATGCCCTATGCAACTCGATAATTTTTTCATAAAAACTTTACTTATCTTAAAATTGAGTTATAAACGTTCATTCTACATTATTATGTTCTCACTATTAGTCAAATTAGAAGAATGGCTAATTGAATTACTTAAATGTTGTTTTAAATAAAGCTTTATAATTTTAAAAAATAAAAATACATTGAGTATGTTCTATGACAATGCTTACTCGATCAATTTGAGATATCATACCTTATACATTGCTCACGATTTAAATAAAAATCATATTTATATATTAAAAAATGTTGTCTATTAATCCCACAAATACACGTTAACTCTTTTCAAACCGTGATAATATCACACCTTAAACCTTCCTTTTTCTATTTTTCATTTTTTTTTATATTCTCTTCTCTTTTCCCTCATCCTCCATTAATTTTTTTTTATATCTTAACCCTAAATAATTTGACATACTTAAAAATATATATAAAACTTAAATTTTACATCGTATAACAAACATATACCTATAACTATTGACGAACAAATTAAGTTTCAACTATCAATGCGCGTGTAAAACATTCAGACTAAACTTTTTACATCTTTACCAAAATCCGAGCTTATATAATTATGTGTTTAGATAAAAATGTTATTTTTTATTTATTTATGTATTTTTTATTTTTTATTTTAAAATAAATTAAAACCCTCCATAGTTATTCTAAGTCACTGGGGTTTTACAAGTAAAGTGAATTCATCTTCTTAAACCCTGCAAGTTCCCCCAACTTGTCTCTCAGCTGCCAAAAATAACTTGTAGCGTTACCCCAAATTTCAGTTCCAATTTTCTCTGCAATCGAAAACCCATCTCAGAGTTATGGAAAAAGATGCATCTTTCTTGTTTGGTGGCATATCTTTCAACCGCAAAAAGTTTGCTCGCGATTTCGACAGATTTAAGGTAATTTTTTTAAATTTTTTTTGCTTCGACCCTTTTTTTAGTTTCAGAGTAAAAGAGTGAACTTTATTGAGAAATATGGGTTTTGGGAATTGTGGGGTTGAGTTTTTTTTTTTGGTTTGAATTTACATTGCAAAGATTCTTGATTTTTTTTTGTGTGTAATTTGATGTGTAGGGGAAAAACATAGTTGATTCAGCTGAGAAATTGCAATTGATTGAGAAGGTATTACTGTTGAACTCTGTAAGTTTGATTCTCCAAGCAGTAATAGGAAGGAACCCGAGTTCCTCTGAATCAGTGTGTTTATAGCATTTTAGCGTATTCATTGTTTCGATTTCAGAGTTTTTTGTTGAAAAAAGCTCAATGATTTATTGTGTGTATGTCATTGATTTGGTTTTATATTTCACTTAGGAGGATAAAACTTTTGATGATTCGTTAGAGAAAGTGGAGTTCGTCGAGAATGAGATATCTGAAATGGAGGATGAGACAAGTACTAGCGTGAGTAAGAAGAGGAAGAGGAAGGAGAAGGGAACAGTTTCTGGTAAATTTCCTTTGTCTGTATATTTGAGCTTCTTGTTTATTTCTTTATACCTAGTATAGAATGGTTACTGAAGTTTGCTGCTTTGGCACTTTGTTCTAATTCATGGCATTGGTTTTAGATTCAGTGGAAGGATTTTCCGTCTTCAAGAGTTCAAAATTGAAAAAGGAAGCTGCCAGCGAAGAGACTGATCAATCTGTAAATGAACTGATTCAGGGAAAGAAAGAATATTATCAACAATTGGAGGTTTGTCTCATTTTCTAGTAGTTGGTAGTAAGCTGTTTTGCTATACGTTCATAAATTGTTGATAAACTTTTATTGAAGAGATATTTCTTCTGTTACTTTGATTTTGTGGATTTAGAGGGACGCAATTTTTCGGAAGATGCACAACATTCATGTTTCAGGGAGTAACATCCCTTCGCCATTGCACAATTTTGCTGAATTAAGATCAAGGTACTCTGTCATGCATTTTGTTGATTTTTGGTCTGGAGACGCATGATTCCCTACCTCCCTTTCTCTGATGGTCACATGCTTCACCAAGGCGTAGTATTTTAGATGTTTACTTATTTACAGTAGGTTATCCATTGTATGGAACAGTTCGATCATGTCAAGGAAGTTATATTTAGTGAAACACCCAACAAAGCCTTAGTTCATTCATTTTGTTTACCGCTTTCTATATCTCCTTGAATCTACTTTATGTGAGCTACACATTCTGTTGTAAATTGTAATGTGTCAAGCAAGAATAGGTAGTGATAGGGTGTTGAGGAATATTTTAAGCTGTTTTGATCTGATCTAGCATGCAAAATAAGTAGGCTAATGAAAGATTTTGCTGTTTCTCCTGCATTTATGGTATCTTTTTTCTTATCTAGTCCAATTTTTTATGTCTCATATTCTTTTTCTGGGGAATGGTTGGGGAAGGGGGATCACTTATGAGGCTTAGCTTAAGAAGCGTATAGGACAGGGCTTGTAGAAAAATATCATTAATGCATAAATGATTTTGTTCTCAATTGCTACTCTTTTTCGTCATGTCATCTTTACTTGTGTACTGTGCCTCTTTTGGGGATAGACTGTTGGTGGTAAAATGAGGTAGGATTCTGCAACTGTGCATTGAAGTCCTTTTCCTCTAATACTCCTTTCGATATATTCCCCTTTATGTCAT